AGAGAATCATGTAAAATATTAATGCCAGTAATCTCTAAGTGACAGGCGTGTGAGATTACGTAATTTAATACATATGATTAAAGCGGAGGATGGATTTAAATTTATTGGAGCACATTGCTAAATCCATTTTTCTCCTAATTTTAACCTAGATAAATAATATTTTAGGCAGATATTTTCGGTGTACCTTTTTCTTGTACCAAAGGTTCGCGACCTTTCTTCCTGATCTGATTTTCTTTTACTATTTTACCTTTGTTAGCCAGCAGTATCTACCTAAAAATACATCACGCTGTTTGTTATTGAAACTTTGTAAAAATATTGAACGGTAAGCCGATGGCAACGCAAACTCCTAGAATGCCACCCACGGACAATTCGACGCACCATGAGTAGGCCAAATACAACATGGACCTATGATATGAAGGTTGCAGGACTATCCTAGGACCGATGATCGTGGCTATGTTTGGGGGAAGGCTTTCAGCAGTGCGCAACATTATATTGATGTGACGAAGAAATATTGTAATATGTAAATATCAACTCTCCTCTTCTTCCTAATCGTAATCCTGTACTGGATCCGCCTTTGTTTTAGTATAATTTAAGAGTTATTTCATACTAAATACGGGGATAATTACCAAATTATAATTAGTGCAGTTTATATTTAGATTAGGCGGGGAATCCTCTAACGAGCGGCTGTGGAATTACCTTAAATCCTCCACTCGCTATCTCCCACTGTTTTATTATTGTTTAATTTCGAAGCTATTCTCAGATAAGCGGATGAATATATATTAAATATTAATTATGTACCAGTTATTAAACTATTAATGAATATGTTTTGTAAATAAATTTATATCGATTATAAACTATAAATGTTACATTGCCATTTAATAACAATGATGCTTGCCATAAATTACGTAAATATAAACTAACTAGGTATCGCCCGCGACTCCATCAGTCAGTCCGCGCGCTTAAAAATAATTTTAGTAGTAGTCTACGTGTTATGTTAAATTTCTGGGTGATGAAAGTCGTTGTAGATATACTCTCTAACAAACATTCATTTATCCATACATCCATCCATTAATCCAAGCATTCTCGTGTTTAATACTAGTCTTATCTTACTAATATTATATATGTAAATGTTTAGATTGGTGGATGTTTGTTTTTTTGATGGTATCTCAAGTACGGTTTGACGGATTTTCATGAAATTTGGCACACATGTAGAACATAGTCTGCAAGAACACATAGGCTACTTATTAGGTTTTTTTTTAATTATGCGCAGATGAAGTCGTGGGCGTCAACTAGTGTGGTATAAGTTAATAGACGTATCTGTTTAACGTATAAATAACGACTTAAAATTCTCAAAGCAAAGAATATTTGTTCATAGTTTCATGTCTGTTATAAAAGAATTTATTACGGTCGAAACAATAACTGTAAAAGATCATCGACCTCACTCCTGATATGAATAGTTCTTTAAAGTTTATCTCTGGCACAAGAGTTATGACCGGCGTTCGATTTTATTACGGCATAGAGAAATGGTTGAAACCACTTGACAAGTTAATCTTTCTAAGAGCCGGCAATATTCTATGTCAAATCGTACTTATTACGTACGTACGTACATTTAGTTAAAACTTAAGATTTTGTTCTAACTTTAAAAAGATTTTTGTCATAAAATAAAGATTGGTTTATTAACGCATACAATCCTAGACGTAAAATATAGCATAGAAGTATTTGAAACAGCCACATAGGCGAGTTTTAAGAAATAATTGTTTTTAATTCCTATAAAACCTAAAGTATGGTAGCTAGAGTTAATTTGAGTATGTTGGTGTGACATGATTGCTTTCCGAGGTGGTAGTAATATTAGATGTATTAATAGCAATCAGATAATAGCAACCGATCAAGCCGAGGTTCGTCCCTCTCGGACACCCTTGAATCGGAATGCTAAACGCGTAATGAGTGACAGCCCAAGCCGAGGTCCGTCAGTCACTCCATGGAGCGTCCACCTAAGCGATCTAAGAGCTCGGTGACCACCCAATCCGGTAACAATAACGAAGTAACAGGCCGGACCGAGGCTCCTGAGAGAGTCCTTGAGTCTTGTTACTCTTAAACGAGGTTCAGGCTAAGCGCCATCTGCGCTCGGCCACCTCAAGCCCGGTGAAGCTGTAAATGCCTCTTCAAGGCAAACAGTGACAACTCAGTCACCAAAAAAATGGTGTGACATATTTTCCATTAGCAAAATTATACAAAAATAAAAAAATATATATAATAATTTTAGTTAAAAAAGTAACTCTTTCTATTCACGGTTAATTAAATGCAGGCTAGTATCATAAATGATAAATGTTTTGGTGAAACAAACCACAAAATTCAAAGAATAATTTAAACAAAGGTTGTTGAAATGAAACAAAGCTCCGGTACACCACCTCAACTCAGGTACCTGCGGCCAGTATCACAATTTAAATAATTTACAAATTAACTCGAAAGTGTTTGCTCTAGAAAGGCTTCTGTGAAAATAATACCAACTCGGAATACTGTTTTATGTTATTATGAATTTTCATATTATTTACGATAAGGTTTCTCCTGTGACTCCGTGCCCGCGGAATTTAAAAAATCTTATTAATATTATAAATGCGAAAGTTTGGATGTATGGATGGATATTTGTTTGAAGGTATCTCCAGAACGGCTACATGTATCTTGCTGAAAATTGGAATAGATGTAGAACACAGTCATACAGTCTACAAGAACATACTAATATGCTACTAATTAAGTTTTTTTTTTAATTCGGCACAGACGGAGTCGTAAGCGACAACTAGTTATAAAATAAAAACTTAATTAGTAGTGTGCTCTTCCAGATTTTGTTCTTCATCTGTGCCAAATTTCAGCGAGATCCATGAAGCCGTTCTGGAGATACTTTCTAACAAACATCCATCCATCTATCCGTACATATAAACATTCGCATTTATAATATTAGTAAGATGTTTAAAATGTATTATTACTACATTCGAACAAACCCGAGGCAGGTTGCTAGTATATTATACATTAAAAATACGAAAACATCTACACTTATCAGAATATGCTGTCAGTAACGAAATTTAATATTCGAGTTAAAATGTAGTGTAATGCAAAATATCTTTTATGTTATGAAATTAATTCGTAGTCTGCATATAACGTAGTAACGTAAACAGTTTTATATTGAGCAAGCTAAGTTTTAGTTTTAATAACAATGAACTAACTTTCAGAATTTAAAACTAATATTTATATTGTAAATATAACTTAAAACAACAAGCTAGGCTAAAAGTACTTCATGTTTTTTTTTTAATTTCAAAGATGGAACAAAGGTAGGGGAAGTCAGAACAAAGTATAGATTGTCAAAAAACGCCTTAGAAAGTATTTAGATATGTAGGCTGACAGATATTTGGAAATACATACTGGGCAGACTCTCTTGTAGATAAATAGATCAGGATAATGACAATGCTCGGCTAATAGTAACTGGGAAAATAATAAAATAACACCCTTTAATTAGTACCGCATAAGTATAATAGGAGATACAGGGTGTGTTT